GATCACTTTGATCCAAAAAACCTGGATTAAACTGATCCCATCAGAAGGGTGGATTTAGCGTGGATTTCATGCCTAAAATGTAATGAAAACTTAAAAAATGTATTAAATAATACTATTTTTGGATCATGCAGTATCTTACGATATATACTATTTATTCATAAGGTTTTCATTTTATTTGTTCATCCGTCAGGCTATAGTGATTATTGGCTTTAATGTATTTAGCCTTTCAGTATAGGCCTCCAGCAACATAGAAAGAGTTTGGCCTCATAAAATAATCCCCCAAACAGCTGTGAAAATTGACCAAAAACAATCAATTTTATTTTGTCTCTAATTGATATATATATTCATCACAATGAAAAATATTTTTCTTTTTAGAATATTTATTAGTGATGCATGCAATGATTACAGAATAACAAAAAAATGCAAAGAATGGCAATGACTGATTTTTGAAATCTCTTTCAACAATTGCAAAAAGAGACTGAAAGGGCAGAAGCACAGCTTCGTCTGGCGGGGGAACAACTGACTCTGACCTAACTGCAGCAAACCAAGGCCAAGGACTTGAGATTCGCCTCCTAAAGGCTACGCTCAGACAAGCTGCTCTCTCCACATCAGATGAGGAAGTCTGAGATTATTGTGGAGTTTTTGACATTAAGTCTTTTTTTTATTTACATCTATATTTGAAACTTATTATAAATATCCTCAATGTACAGTGTTTTAGGTCTCAGATGAGCGGACTGCTGGAAGAGGATGCGGTGTTGTTTTTCTTGTTTTTATTATTTATTATTATTATTAATTTAATATTTATTAAGTTTTCATTTAAAAAAAATAAAGTTATGTTGACCCCACGCTGGCTATTCTACTTGTCGCTCTTTACATATCTATAGTTCTACATTGTGATTTCTTATCCTGTTTGAGCACTGGTAATCCAGATTTAGTGATCCTGAAAAGTTCCTATCCGGATCAGTTTGATCCATTTCGATGTTGCTCTGAAAAACTGGCTCAAAATGTAAGTTGGATTACGTGATCACGGATCGCAAAAACAGAATTACTAAATCTGGATAAATTTGATGCGGATTAAACCTTTTGAAAAAACGGGCCCAGGGCCTGGTTTTTTAAAAGTAATCCACTAGGATTTTGGATAAGGGATTGGATCAAATCTTGAAAATGGGTTTTTTTAAAAGAAAAAACGAATTACATAATCGGATTAGATCACGTAATCTAATCTTGGTTTTGATCCAGATCAAACCTTTAGTTTGGGTTTTTCAGATCTTTTTTGTAGGATCTGGATCATTTTGATCCAAAAAATCTGGATAGTGATTTCCTATCCTGTTTGAGCACTGGTTATGCAGATTTAGTGATCCTGAAAAGTTCCTATCCGGATCAGATTGATCCAATTCGATGTTGCTTTGAAAAACTGGCTCAAAAAGTAAGCTTGATTACCTGATCACGGATCGCAAAAACAGAATTACTAAATCTGGATCAATTTGATCCGGATTAAACCTTTTGAAAAACCGGGCCCAGCAGCTGACCGTTACAGATACAGCATGCAGCACCGAGGACCGTCTATCTCTACAGCTTCAGACAGGGTTTTATGACAACCTTTGTAAATGTTTGCAATTAGGAATCTTTCTGCAGAAGACATGTCAGTGTTTATTTTTACGTAAAATGTTATTTTATGAAACATTTAATGTTGAGTGTTTATATGCATATTTTTATATATAATAAATGAATACACATTTAAATACATATGTTTGTGTGTTTTTGTTTCTATGCTGAAGCACCGCAGTAAAAATTATCTTAGGGTCTCCTTTTGACCAGCAGCAACTCTGGTTAGTGGGTTCCCACTTAGGAAGAGGTCAAATTTCATTTTTACTGTTGATCATCAGTTGGCACCATTAAATCCTTTACATTGCCCCGTGCAAAAGCGTGTCTGACTTTTATATGGAGTTCTGTGGAGTAAAACTGCAATTTATAGAGTGCATGCATAAGTACACTTACTATGTTTACTATGTTCTGACAGCTGAGGTGCCTATTTTGTATTTTCTCCTACACATCAATATATGTGTGTAAAAGTCTCTCTTACAACCTCACACACTCACTAAACACCAAATAAAAGCAAGAAATCAAGCTTTTTTGAACTGTAACTGATGATCACCAGTAAAAATCACAAATCTTACCTCTTCCCAACAGGAAAAACCACCAACAATCAAGAATGCATGATTATACGCTGTCATGACGTTGCATTTAAAAATAATGGAAATCACTTGGGCAAAAACAGCCATGAACACAATGAAAGGGTGGTAAATTTGCTCAGAGTGTATTGTTGAGTTTTTAAAAAATTCAAAAAGTATTTTCCCAAAATATGTGTCAACAAGACTTGTCACCAAAAATCATCCCATTTGCTGAACCACAGAGAAAGTTGTTGGTAAATTAAGCCTCAAAATCAGCCCAGAGTGGACCAAAACTTCACCAACAGCACAGAAGGGTTAAACACCCCCAAATCCTTGATGGCATGGTTCTAAGAGGCAGTGCTCACTTCTGGACAGAGGGGCAAGTGTACCAAGTAGCAAGTGGAGATGTTTTGAACCTTCAGCTGACAGCCAGTGTAAGTGGAGAGGTAAGAGAGGTGTGACGTGGGCTCTCTTGGGATCATTGAAGACCAGATGAGCTGCAACATTTTGTTTGGCCAGGATTGATTAGATGAGCATGTCATCGGTGTAAACCAGAGATGCCCAAACTAGGGCCCGTGGGCCAAAGTGGATCCACTGTAACCTTTGATTTGGCCCTCCATCCCATCTGAGAAGAGAGGGAGAATGATGGGGAGTTTTGGGGGAAAGTCTTTAACAGAGATTGTCATTTCTAATACAACATAACTTTTGTTTTTTTAACTGTTGAGATACACAAATAAACAAACTGAAATTAAACGTTTCAATGAAATGTTGTGAATGAATCAAATAAAATAATAGTCACTTGAAGGAGAGCAAACATTACAGAAGACATCAGCAAGCGAAGGCAAAGTGTATTTTAAGCGTTATAGATGGGATTGTTCATGTTTTATTGTAAGACTTTCATTCATTATAAAATGTATAATTATTAATACAATTAAAGAATTTGAAATGTTGTAAATTACAGTATTCAGTGAATCATGTAAATTATATAATGAATAATAATAATAAATTTGGAAATTACATTGACAATTTTACAGTTTGGTAGATTTACCTCCAGCCCACCACCCTCAGACGAGTTTAGTTTTTGGCCTTTCATAAGAAAAAGTTTCCCTGAAGCACCTCTGAAATAAACTTTAACTAAAAGTTTTAGATTGTGAGCAGGACAGCACACTGGTTCTCCCGCAGCATGTTTGTTCATCATTTCTATCTTAATGTGTTGATCATTTTCTTTTGTGTTTCTGTATTGTGTGAAGGTCAACCAGTCCACAGTTTATGCTGCTATAATCTTTATTCAGTTTTATTCATAAACTATGTACAATATATACACTGTGCTCACGTCGGCTCCAGGTCTCTTGGGTGAAGGTCTCTCAGTGACGTGGTCTCTTCTGGTCTCCGTGCGTCTCTGGTGAAGATGGGGAACGGGAACGTTTCCCTCTGGCGTCCTGGACTGAAGATGCTGCACCAGCTGAGGAAGAGGAGGGCAGCGGCTTGGTCTGGCAGGAGAAGGACGGCCTCTTTTTCTTCTCAGCAGCATAGGCCTCACTGAACAGATCGAGTGCAAACACACACAAGCAGACATAATGTGAGATTTTCACAAACAATAGAACATGCTGCAATGCCAAGTACAGTTTACTCACGCGTCTATGATGGGAATGACGTATTTGCCGCTGCCGTCCATCATGACTCCCTTTCGGTTTGGGTCGTCCACCTCCAACAGGAAGCTGCGGGGAATCCCTGTGCTCCTCCTGATGCGCTTGTGCGGAGCAGAGCTGCTGCCCTGTGAATTCATGAGTGACAGTCAAACGACAGAGCAAACAATCTGACTGATGGAGACAAGAGCTCATGTTCACAGCAACCATAAGCTTAGAAAACCCAGTTACCCCTTTAGAGGGGCAGTGCCTAATGTGGTGTCCTGGGATCCCACATTGAAAGCAGACATAGTTGGGTGGAAGAAGCCCAAGCAGTGTCATGGCCTCACTGATGAACATCAGAACCATGAGAATCAGCTCTAACATTTCTCACAAACCAAACCTGTCAGTGTCTGAACGCTCACCTGCTGGAGTAGTAGCACAGACTGGACTGGTACATCACCGCTTTTAGCTTGTCCTCCTCTGATGCCTTTGCCTCAGCCAAATTCTCAGTCTGTTTCACAGGCATTTGCACATTAGAATTTTATTTTACTGGTCTGTCTAAGAAGCTGTGTGTGTGTGTGTGTGTGTGTGGGGGGGGGGGGGGGGTTTACACTGTGTATTGATATTCTGCACTACATGTCATTATGACGCCTCAAATGCAAACACTGCAGTTCAATACAGAGCAGCACAGTGGGGTGAATTAATCATTTGTTCAATACCTTCAACAGCTGCTCCAGTGAGAGGAGTGAAGAATCACATGTTTGAGAAGATTTAGCTGATGGTCCAGCTTGATGGCTGCAAAACAAAGGAGCTTGTGTGACTAAAACACCACAGACAAAAACTCAAAATCTTGATATAACATCTATCAGTGGACGATTGCGCTCATTTCACATGACTTACCCAACAAATCTTCTGTTGGAGGACTTCAGTCCAGCCGCAGGGACCCGTCTGATGATGACAGATGTGTTTTTGGGGATGAGAGCATCATCATCTGTGTATTCTGACAGCAAAATAAAGTTTGAATATAGTAATAATCATTTACCATGGTATACTTTGAGTTCCATTAGCATTTTAAAACACTCAGAACATCACTATATGTCACCATCAGAGTCATGATAACACATGTCAGCTTCTACAAGTCTGTCTGATAACACATCTAATGTTAGTGTAGTATAGTTTAAGTGGCTTTTCCTCATCTCACCTTCATCAGTTTGGGCTTTGCTGATCTTCAGCTGGCAGAACTTCAGCCTCTCGCGCCTCATGATCTGCCGCTTCAGCTCTCCCGCAGTGATGTTGAGGCCCTCAAACTGGAGCGAGTCGTAGGTGAGTCGACTCTGAAACCTGTAATGAACACAAGACATACTGAATACAAACCACAGTGTGATAACAAGATTCAAACCTGAATGATGGGAGAAGCAGACGATCAATCGATGTATCCAACAATCAATAATATCAATAATCTGGGAATCTGTTGCCAGGAAGGACGCCGAGATCAGATGCCAATGACAGAGCGAAGTTCAAAACAACACAAAAAGAACCGTTGCCATGGATGTTGACGATCACGTGACGAGGCGCTGAAAAACTTCCGCGTTATTTTCTCATAAATAATAGTGAAATCATTACTATGATAATAATAAAATAAACAGCTGAACAGTTGGACCTCTCTGAATAAAACACAGCTGCGTTTCCGTACACGAATGATTCTGGCCTTTGTAAAGAGTCGGGCGAGTCAATGAATCAGTGATTCGTGGCTGAATGAATCACTCAAAGCTTCACTCGATTAAAGCGGTCTCTTGCTGCCACCTATTGGCGATTTGTTTTTTCGTTTTTAAAGTAATTTAACACTTTTTTTAAAGGCACCTTCAAATTTATTTTCTACAAAAGTTTATTTCCGTGTGTTAAAAATGATTTAAAACTCTCTAATCTCATCATTTCCTGATGCGTTTATAATGTAAATCCCTTCATGTTTGCCTTTGATCTTCATTACGTGTTAAAATCAATAAAATATTAAAGTTGCCTCATCCAAATCCAAAGTTTAGTTCAAAGCTTTATTATACAGCAATGTGTGTGTGTGTGTGTGTGTGTGCGTGTGTGTGCGTGTGTGTGTGTGTGTGTGTGTGTGTGTGTGTGTGTGTGTGTGTGTGTGTGTGTGTGTGTGTGTGTGTGTGTGTGTGATTGTGGCAGTGGATTACAGTGAATGTAGAAGTGATCAGAAGTGTGTGATATTTATTGTTTCTGATAATCAAAAGAACATTTTAAGAGTCCAAAAGATTTACTGCCTGATGAAGCCTGTTATAATGCAATTATGATGACCCTATAAATCTAGAATGGTCAGAACAATAAAAAATTAGGGAAAGAGATTAATTAGTATTTCTCCTCTTTTTTTTGTATGTGTAAGTGCTCCTGGAAGAAAAGTCTGCGTCTCTCTGTGTCACTCAGGCTGCACTGCAGTGTCTATTCTCAGGTGTGATCCCACTACTGATCAGCACGGGGGATTTGACCTGCTCCGTCGCCGACCTGGGCCGGTTCACCCCTCATTACACAACCTGGTGGTCCCAAGCTCCCCCAGGAGCACCATATCGATACCGAACTTAGTGTGGACACCTGATCAACATAATCACACTGCAGTCCAGAAGCCCTGAGCTCAAGCGATCCGCAGCCTCAGCCTCCCAGTAGCTTGGATTACAGGCGCGCGCCACTGAACCCGGCGAAAGCTGCGAGAATCAGAGCTGTGGAGAATCTGATCATCACAGCGACCTCTAGTGGAGGAAATGATGAATGATGAAGTAAAGTTGACTTTTTATTGGTCTTATGGCACTGTTTGGATAAAAATAAACAGCAGTACGGTCCCAAATAAAATATAGTTATTTAAACTAAATACTATAGTATTTTAGAACCACGTAGTAAAGTTTATTGTACTGAATAGTTAATCACAATGTTGTGCTATTTAAAGGCAACTGTGGTGCAGAGTCGGGTTGGAAGAAACTCCAAGCATTTCTGTTTTCGCAAGGTTAAGCTGAAGATGATGATCTTTCATCCAGTGTGAAATGTCCGACAGGCAGGCTGAGATGCGAGCTGGAACCGAGGGATCATCAGGGTGAAAAGAGAGGTAGTTGGGTATCATCAGCATAGCAGTGGTAGGAGAATCCATGTTTCTGAATGACTGGTCCTAGAGATGTCGTGTAGATGGAGAAGAGAAGTGGCCCAAGAACAGAGCCTTGAGGTACCCCAGTGTTTAGATGCTGTAGGTTGGACACCTTTCCCCTCCAAGACACACTGAATGACCTGTCAGAGAGGTAAGATCTGAACCATTGAATAACAGTGCCTGCAAACCCCAGTGACTCATATATATTATATATTTAATGATTAATACATATAGAAACAATATTTTCATAACTAAATTATTTATGATTTGCCGTTTAACAGCGAAACATCTCGTCAAATAGGCCACAGTTCATCAGGAAATGAAAAGCTTTTAAATGACAACAGAAAAGCAGTTCAGCGACTAACATTCACTCATTCAGTGAGTATCTCATTCATTCATTCATTCATTCACTAATTGAATCAACACTTTTTCAGTCACTAAATATGGTGTCAGATGCAGATGTGGCCTCTAGTGTAATCCACAGTTCATATATTGCACAATGACGCTAAAGGCCACCATATTATAAAATACTGCAGGTTGTTGGTTGCAGATTAATAATCACAAACATAATTTTTTAATCATAAAACAGCTAAAACATATTTAGTGTTAGAGAGGACAAAGTGGTTTTAGTTTACCTTTTATCTTTAATATTAAACAGCTTTTTAGTCTTTAGACAGATTAAATAACTTGTGGTACTTGTATAAACAATGTTCAGCTCAGGATCAGTAATTCAGCATGATGTGCTGCTAAAGCTGAAACAGTCTATCAATTTATGCCACAGATTGTGTGAGATTCTGTCGAGTCTTATGTTAAAAACACTGATGGAGGTCAAAACCGCATCTGACACCACAGTTAGTAGATGAGTAAGAGTAAACTGAATAATAAATATGTAACTCAGTTAATGATAGTTATTCACTGCATGAATGAATGTTAGATGAGGAACTGGTATTTAAGTGGAAAATTAAAACATTAAAGCTTTACTTTTTCAGAGATTCACTGTTTGCACAATCTTAAATGGATAGTTCACCACATAAATATGATTGTGACGATTATGAATTAACATTTTTGGGTCAATTATCCCTTAGCTCACATAAATTATCCCAGAGCATTATTTCAGCATCAATGATCATTCACAATAGTCACATCACAAGAAATACAAGGTTGAGTCTGGATTATAATTTAGCGTTTGCGTGTGTTTCTGAGGCCTGCGACTGTAAAAGCTTTAGGTCTAATAAATTGCATAATTTGTCATTTTAATTGCAAATCATTTTATTTAATAAAAAAATGAAGACAATAGCAGTATTATTGTACATTTGATTATTACATTACTGTACCTGAATACTGTTAGACTCGTTGAAAAACAACAAAGCTCTGTTCATTTTATTTCAGAATTTTATATTGTATTTATCTCTGCTCGTAGATTGTTTGTAATGTTTTATGCAGATGCACACCTAATATAAACAAATCACCCATTCTGTAATATGTTTTCTACAGCTATATGTATTATGATACAATAAACCACTTTTACTGTAAAAAAACTAAAGTATACTACAGTATTTATTACAATTTATCACTTGATACAGAAAACAGAATGTTGTGGCACTCATAAAATGAGTTGTAAAGGCTAATAAATATGGTATAATAATCTTTAGTTCAAAAATATTATGTTGATACTAATTACTGTAATTTTTTTATTTGTGATCATACTGCTGTTTATTATTATCTAATGTCATAAGGCTATGAAGTCAGTTATTATTCATCATTCATCATTCAGTTTTCCTCCACTAGAGGTCGCTGTGATGATCAGATTCTCCACAGCTCTGATTCTCTCAGCTCTCGCCGGGTTCAGTGGCGCGCGCCTGTAATCCAAGCTGCTGGGAGGCTGAGGCTGCGGATCGCTTGAGCTCAGGGCTTCTGGGCTGCAGTGGACTATGTTGATCGGGTGTCCGCGCTAAGTTCGGTATCGATATGGTTCTCCTGGGGGAGCTCGGGACCACCAGGTCGTTTAAGGAGGGGTGAACCGGCCCAGGTCGGAGACGGAGCAGGTCAAATCCCCCGTGCTGATCAGTAGTGGGATCGCGCCTGTGAATAGACACTGCAGTGCAGCCTGAGCGACACAGAGAGACGCAGACTTTTACACTAGTTGTTTTTACTCTGATATATCTTTCTAACAGTAAAAAAGAAGTAATAAAGGTTTTGAGATGAATGACATGGCTGTGTGTTATAATTAGAAATAACTAAAAGTTTAGTTTTTTCGAGTGATGGGTTGCAGCTGGAAGGGCATCTGCTAAAAACGTGCTGGATAAGTTGGGGGGTTCATTCCGCTGTGGTGAACCAACGGGACTAAGCTGAAAAGAAAATAAATGAATGAATAAAAGTTTATTTGTAGATTAGACATTTTATTTGTAAACAGAAACACAGAAATTATCTCAATTTCATGAGTGTATTTTGAAAAGATGATGTTTTAGACAGAAATATGTTGTGCTGTGGTTACTAACTCATAAGTGTGGTCTATCAATATCGGGTGGTATTTTAAAAAAATTATAGAAGAATTTCACTTTAGTTCTCTCCGTGTTGGTGTGGGTTTTCACTGGTTGGTCTGGTTTACCCCACAAGTCCAAAGACATACGGTATAGGTGAATTGGGTAAGCTAAATTGTCTGTAGTGTATGGGTGTTTTCCAGTAATGGGTTGCAACATGGGAGGGCATCCTCTGCGTAAAACATATGCTGGAAAAACTGGCGGTTCATTCCGCTGTGGTGACACCCGATTAATAAAGGGACTAAGCCGAAATGAAAATGAATGATTGAATGAATTTCACTTTAAACATAATTTACACATTGTTACTTTGAACCCATCATCTGATATTTGGCAGCTCCATCAAGGGTTCTGCATTGTGTTTTCTTTTTATTGTGGGAATAACCAGACAGGTATCAGCAGTTGTGACGGCTCTTTAATCACTCCTGATGTAAACAAAAGCACAGATTTTACAGTGTGTCTTCGCCCTCATCACTTTTACATGCTTCAATCAGACAAATATAAATCAAAACCTCAATTAAAGTGAAAACACAAAAATAACGAACTATGTGAAATATGTGAAAAAGAAAGTTATACATAATATTGAAACATAAAAACTGGCTTCAAAAGTCAAGTAAATATGATTTAAGATCAATTAGAGCTGCAGACACCCACCTCTCCCATGTGCAGTCAGTACAGAAAAGGAGGAGGCGGGTGCAGAACAGAAAATTAAAAAACTTAAGCTTTCTTAGAAATTTAAAGGAGCAGGTATACTTAATAAACATACCACATAGCCTCACTCTTTTTATTTATTTTCTCGCA